TTACTTCACGGTGCTTACCCCGTGCCCACGATTGCAGCCCCCGTGTGGAGTCGCTCGGATTTGGCCGAACCAATGCGGGCGTTGAAAAATATCACCGCGACGCACTGTAAAGCACATGTGCGTAATTGTCTGTCGCCAGGCCCCTTTGGTAGACCCGTTGACTTACACGTGCAAGTTGGCGATTCTAAGCCATCGAAGAATCGTCCAAGCTTGTGTCTCAGAAGCTTCCATTCATGCCTTAATGCCTGCCCTGACTTCTTCTTTCGCCGCGCACAGACGCGTTAGTGGAGCTGTCGACTTCCGGACCGGGCACGGCACCGGGGTGGAGGCCAGGGGCGCAGGGATCAGGGATCTCATGGGTTAGGATCCCCGTCAAGGTAGGAGGGTATGTGTGTGTGTGTGGCTAATTGTCTCGTCCGCCACTGCTTGCTTGTCTGCCCGGTAAAGAGGGAGGGAGAGAGTAGGAGAGGAAGGGGGACAGGGGCCAAGCATGCAAGTAATGAGTGGGCGATAGGAATATGCCATATCGTTGCCGAAGTTGACAGCGCCGATGTGAGCGAGCACGACGGCAGAGGTGGATCAAAGATGGAAGAGAGATGATGAGCAGTGGGGGGCGAGAGGACCAAGGGGTGGGGGAGCGACCAAACGAGGATGGCCGAGCTTCTGCCTCTCCGCCGGAGAAGGCCAAAGCACAGTGACTTGCAGCAGCGTCAATCGGGTCGAGAGTCGAAAGGGGAAAGATGTGAGCTTCTCGGTCAGTCGATTGCGCCAGAGAAAGGGGAGGGGGGCTTACAAGACCAGGGGCGTCGCTCACCATTGATTCAACGTGTTTCCGTGCATCAAAACGGACGAGTGAATAGAGTACTATTAAGAGCATTCCTTGCTCGTAGCCCCAACTCGGACGGGGATGGAAAGGTGAGACTGTGAGACTGACAATGGTAGGGAATGAGGAAAATGAGGTTGAGGTGTGGAGTCAGCGTCGGATCCAATGATGCCAAATGTCACCACGGCTAATGCCATATGCCAGATGGCATTGGCTTGCTTCACTTTGCACAAGGCCGGAAAACGCCCAGGGTAGCTCACTCGAGGTAGGGGTTTTGGCCAAATGCAAGGCAAACCCAAAAAACACGACGCAACGCAGAGACGATGTCTGTATGCAGGCCCTACCATTCGGAAGACAAGGCCTTGCCTTGACACTCCATCTCGTCTCATCCCTGCACTGCTCTGCCTAAGCCCGCGTGCCCTTCGCTACTTCACCTGCCTTAGCTCATCTTAGCTCGACACCACCGAGGCAGGCACAACGGCAGCGAGGAGACAAGACCACACACAGCATGCAAGTGCAGGTACTTTTGCACAGCAAAACAGTGTGTTGGTACCTTCTCGGACACATGGAGCCCACGCCACACGCTGCGGCGTTGAGGCAGGAGCAGCGAGCACAGCACACCACAGAGCACACCACACACAATACGGCAGACCGAGGACCGTCTTGCCCGCCGTGGATGTTTTTCTTCTCTCTTGCCTTTCCTGCCGCGCTTTCCTCCTTCCCCTCGATGGCTGCTTTGACCGTTGCGGCGCCTCTCTTACCTCTTCAGGCTTACCTACCTGCCGTGCCTGCCGCTCCTCACCTTGAAGAACAGCAAGAGATACTTGTGTACGTACCCATGTGTGGCGTCCAACGACGCGACTTGGCAACGGCGGGATCGGTCTCCGCAGGAGCGGGCCAAGTACCGCCTACCTCACCCCACGTACCTACTCCTTCTGCTTGCCTCGATGTAGCCTCCATGCGGCAGCAGCTCCCACCTCAATCAGCCGTCCATCACTGAGCCGCTTCAGGGCAATCACTTCCCCAAGGTAGCTCCTTTGCCGTGCTTTTCACGGGAAGCAACCTACCATCGCGCCGCGATCCCACCCGAACGTGCTCTTCCCCTACCCACCTATCTTGCTCGGCCGCGGCCTTCCCTGCGTTTCAACGTGCCTGCACGCTTACCATACCTTCTATAGTATTACATTACATTGAATCAAAGTGAGTTACCGACTGTCGGTCGCGAACATAGCGGTGACATAACTCCAGATGAACGACTCTCCCAAATGCATGGATTGTTCGGTACCCCATCGTCCGTCCTCCCCTCCCATCCCACTCTTCCACCGCCACACCCAGGGCATCCACTTCACCTCGTCTTCTCCTACTCAGCGATTCTCCCTCTCTCCATCCTTCTCTTCTCCTCCCGAGTCACGCCTCGGACATCGCATTTGGTCCTCCCTTCGTTCTCCCAGCTCAGCCCTCCCCTGCAGTTTATATCGCATCGTTTACGCTTTTGGCCTTCTCGTCCCTGACATAACTTTACACCGGGTCCACTTCGACCACCCACCAAGCACTGGCGACGGAGGTCGTCAAGACCCTCTTCCGGTGCTCCAGTCAAAAGTCCCATCCGACCACGAGCCACGAATGGCATCCGTCTTCGGTCGTACTTTTCTTCACCTTGCCGGTCTCTTGGTTGCGTCTCCTTCATGACTGTGGCCTCATGGTGCCGTCCCCATCACCCACGCATGAATGCACGGAGCAATCGAACATCCAGTTATAGATTAACCGCCCTCTTGGGACGATACCATTCTGTCCAGGTACTCGTCTGGTGCGAACGACAAGACACCTTCGGAAGAAACGCATCACTGGTTGCCGGATCCCCACGCGGCACTGTTGACCCTGTGTCCGGCAACAAAGGCTCCCAGACCATCGACAGCGTCGTCAGCTCTACGCACTACATGCTGCGTTTCTCTTCATCCGCCCGCGTGTTCCAGGCCATTACTTCATCTTGGCTTCGTTGACCGCCCCCAACCCACGCTGCTTGACAGCTCAATCGCTTCTTGCCGAAGGCTGCCAATTGACCCCGACTAGACCAGGGGTAACACCTCCGCTAAGAGACTCGAACCTCTGGAGCACAGACCAGAGCAACGCAGGGATTCCTTCGTCCTTCTTCGTCCCTCTCCTTTGGCGACCCACCGGCAGAGACTCCCTCCAGAGAGTTGCCAGGGCCTGGGCCATGCCCACTTGAGTATTTGGCATCTTGCATTCTGATACATCAAATCATCATTTCGAAGCCAAGCACAACCCACCGCAAAACAAGCCACCACCGACTGGTTGTCTTCTCCGAGCGTCCCCTCCCTTGTCGCCCTGAACCTCGTTCATAACGCACTCAGAGCTGTCCCTTCTCGGTATAGGCCTTCCGGCACCCAGACATGGGTCTGGTGTTTCTTTGTGCATCGTCATTGCCTCTCGCATCGCCGTTGAATTCCCCGATAATCTGAGTCTCCTCCAAAGGGGTACATGGATACAAAACCACTTTATCCTACCTTGCCACGCTCCCTAACCGGGTGATGTACCAGCGCTCCTCTTATCCTCTCCCTCTCTCCTCTCTATCCTAGAGGCAGGCATCCGGCAAGGTCAAGTCTACCCTCGTGCAGGGTACATGGCCCAAGTATCTTCGATACTCTGCTCCGGGCACACCACCCTATAACCCTCATTGCTTGCCTGACCTTTCTTTCTTAGCACCCCCCCTCGAAGCATCTCGCCCACCTCCTTCCCCCCAGCCGTCTCCATCCTTCACACGCCCCTTCATGCGACTGAACCCCTGAGGCGCCTTCCTCTCCTTAAGCTACTCCACGCGCCTTTGGATTTGGACGACGGCTCGAACGCCAACACTGACCAAGGAGTCGCCTTATATCAAGATCATCACTTCATCGGCAAACGTGTTTCTCATCAGTTATCATCCGTCCATCTCATAACTTCGAGCCGACTTTTCTCTCGACCCATCTACCCGTTATTGCAACCTCGTCATTTACGCTCAGAGCTTTTCGTCAGGATACCCCGCAAGGAAAGGCATTCATATCGGCGGCGCCTCGGTCAACGCATCCAAAGCCTGAACCCTCTACATACGCACCGCATCGTGCTCCATTGTGAAGACTGAGTCGCGTTTGTTGACTATTTGAGGCCTGGAACCCACGTCGATATCGGTATTCAAGTACCATTATAAGCCTGGGCCCGAAGGTGCTGGCCTTTCATTCCACGGGTAGGATGACCCTGCCCATACCACACCGGTACCAGTAACGTGCTATGCATGTGGGTATCCAGAAGAAAAAGCCCTCTTTGCTGACCACTCAGGGACGGCTAGACGAGATTCGCCCTCAGAGATACTGACAGGCGCTACTCCTGCCGTTGTGTTCAGTCCTGCCCTCTCGACGCCCCTCCACACAGGGACAACCCGATCCGCCTCCCCTGCTGCTGTTTTGCGTCCCACTCGGAAAGATCTACGCCTGGTACTTCCGGTTTCCATCGCGTGGCAGGGGTCTTTCTGTCAACCTCTTTGTCGCATTAAATCTCCTCCTCCCACCAGTCGTACTTCTTTCATCATTCCCAGTTGTCGCCTGACAAGACATCGGACTTACCGCGCCTGGTCATCGACACCTTGACGAGTTCTGGCATTCTATACGCTCTACTTTCAGTCTACACTGTTCTTTGATACTCAAGCTATTTATTAATTATCACCGGTGCCGCCGAATCCAGAGCCTCTTTGCGTCCTTTAGACCTTGTCAACGAAGAAAAACACGGAAGAACCGAATCAACGTCACCAGACTCGTCGTTGGCAGCGGAATCAGGTCACATCTGGTTTGGATCGAGGGTACCACACGTTGCCCAAGGCTTCTCTAGCACTTCGTAAGACCTTTTGCGAATCCTGGGTGGAGAAATCTGGCAGGCCGAGCAAATCATCTGCAATTGTGCAGTGTCAGATTTTCAACCGTCCACCGCGACATCAAACTTTATCACTTGTTTCTCCGATACTTGGGTCGGCTCCTTTACCAGCCCTCAGCATCATCCAGCCAGCTATAAATGCTAGTCGTCGGATAGCATACCTTTTCCACGGTTCCACACACCGCGGCACATTATTCAACACACTCAGACAACTTCCAAGGACTAGATACATCGATGTCTTTCCCACACAGTCACCATGCGGCCTCGTTCGCAACGCAGCAGCGGTATGTATTACGAACACACAGGTACCGTCCACCGTTGCGGCCAAAGCTAACGAGTAACAGATTTCCAACTAGCCACAGTGGCATCACTCTGTCCGTCGTCCAGGGGCCAACAAACGCAAAAGTAGCCACGGGGAAAGAAAAAGGTCCGTATTCGTCCACAAGATTTGGTTCTATGGAAGCTGACATCTGCTAGTAGACCGCAAACCGATCGATCCACCTCCCATTGTCAGGCTTAACGTTGAACCGAGGAACTTTGACCGTAGCTTCTACGGCAACCCCGAGAACTGCCTCTTCAGTAAGTCTCTATGATCCTTGGCCGAATCGCATGGTTCGTGTGCTGACCATGTCGTAGATCCCTTTTGGATTCTCTACGTCTACTTGATCAACGCCGAACGAGACAGCAAGCAAGATCCCGAAGTGTCCAGAAAGGCGCTGGTTGGCACGACCTGCTCTTCCTTGCACAAGTTCAAAGATACCAACAGCCATGACGCAGGCTATTTTGTATTCGGCGACCTCTCGGTCAAGTTCGAGGGTTGCTTCAGGCTGCAGTTTGTCCTCTACGAGATGCGAAGGACAGAAGCTGTCTTGTGCACGACCGCCGTTTCGGAGGCTTTCCAGGTGCACACCCAAAGAACATTCCCGGGGATGGCCGAGTCAACCTACCTGACCCGCCACCTCAGCGACCAAGGATGTCGATTGCGTCTTCGAAAAGATTCCCGCCAGGCCACAAACCGAAAGCGGCAGCTCACATACAGTCTTGAGGCGGACCGTGCGCGTACGAGCGGCCCATCGCCCAAGCGCCAACGTGCAGACGGAGTTGGCGAGGTGATCCACGACGGGCTCCAGGCCCAGACAGCATTGCAGTCCACATCGGCAGCCGGCGGCGGATACGTGGGGGGGTTTAGCCATCATCAGTACCAGAGTCCGTACCAGGGCGCCAGGCAGCTGAGTGGCAACAGGCAGCTGAACAGAAACAGACCCCCTCCTCCGCCCATGGCCGTGACACCGAACTATTCGACGGCTTCCATGATTTCGAACTACACGACAGCGCCCATCGGATCGAACTACACGACAGCGCCCATGGGCTCGAGCATGCCGACAACATCCATGGGGACTCAGTCAATGGCGCCATGGCCGGCCACGCCGTCATCCGGCGGCCTGTCGGGCGCCGCTTCGTTGCCCTCGGTTTCGCCCACTCAGAGCCCCCCTGATATGGTCCATCCTACTTCTTATTACCGTCTCGACTCCTCCCTCATTTTCTCGGGAGACACGACGGCGTACGAGGGAGAGGACGCACTGCCAGACGAGATCTTCACGAGAGAGTACCCGAAAGATAGCTTCTGGGCCATGATGGAAGAGCGGAGGCGGGCCGGCCACGGAACAGGCAACATTGGCGCTTAGGAAGGCGCTGTGCCGGCAGCAAAGTTGTAGCAAGGGCCAGGCTAGACGTTTTAGGTGGTTACTAGCAGACAAGGGCGAGATTTTGGCGGATTCGACTCGAGTGTAATACGACAGGTAAAATGCGCGAGTTCCTGGCGCGGCATCGAGCAACACACTTTGTAATTGGTGTTGCTTCGGCCCAGATTGGCGTTGGTGGTTTCAAGCTTAGGCAAAGGATATACCCTTGGCGTCTTTTCACGGGGAAATACAAGGCAGCACACCGGCGCAGTGGGATTACGGAGGCTAGCGCAAGGCCGAGATACCTAGCATATTTAGATTCAACAGTGCCAATGGCATCCTTTTTTTTTTTTTTTCTCATTTGTAATATGTTTGAGTAGAACCTGAGTTTCTCATCCCGCACTACTGTCCAAGACGTGATTCAGCGCCCACGAAGTACGGGCATGACGTGTCGGGTTGAGAGACGGGTTGTGACACAAGAGACGGCGGCATACGAGCCAGGGGGCACGGGCGAAGCGTCTTGGTCTTTGTGCATTCGGGGGTCGTTGGACGGCACGGTCCATTGCCTGGACCCCTGCCATGTCTGCAAGAACCGTTTTCGACCTTGACTGCGTTCAATATTTTGACGTCTCCACGCCGATGCTACACGAAACAAGATGGAAGGCGTGTGCGAGCAGTCGTTGAGGAAGCGGGGGGGGGGGGGGGGGGACGTAAGGGCGGCGGAGTCAAGAGTCGAGGGGGAAAGGGACATGGGGGGGTTCATCCAAGGGCGTGTACTATGCATGCTAGCTAGGAAGAGGTTCCAACCTCTGCAAATATGTCTCAGGAACTCGGAACACGCCGCAGGGTTTGAGGGGCGTTCGGGGAGGGGCGTGGAGAGGGGGGAATCGAGAGGAGAAAGCATGGGGGGCCGGGTAGTATGTTGGATTTGCGGGCGTATGTGATGGGGAATGGGATGCAGATGCCAGGGGGGAAAAAAGAACAAAAAAGAAACAATATTGAGGACATCGCGGTGAGCTAGCTGCTGTCAGGTGGACGACAATCAGGTTTGCTGACGGAGGGCATCCTTGGGTTTGGAAGCTTCTGTCCTTGTTCTAGCGCACGCTAGGTCGAGTGGACCCTGGAAATGGCGAGGCAGAACGGGTCCATCCTGGCGTGTTTTCCACGGCCGTAAGTTCGTCGTGGCGGTCGGGGGGGCATATTCCTCGTGGGGGGCTGAATGATGATGAGGAATTTGTGATGAGTGATTGATTACTTTTGGGGCCCACGTACCAGCAAAGCCGTGGGAGGCGGGCGTGAGAGCTCTAGTCTGGGTTCGCATGGCTGTTCATGCGGTTATTGCCTTGCGATGGGCCTCATCTGCAGCTAGATGAGGCAGCGGTACCGAATCGAGAACACGCCCGTCCTGTTTAGTTGTGTTGTCTTTTTTTTTCTTTTCTTTTTTTTTTTGTGGCTAGCAGCTCCCAGTCACGACCATGCGGCGTCGGCGGATTTATTTTTTTGGGTTCGTCGGCCTCTACCTGCGACAAAGTATTCCACCATGTGAGACACATGAGCCTCCTCCATCACAGGCGCCCTGCAGCCGGAGCGAAGTCTATCGGCATGTCCCAGTAGAGTGCGAGAGGTCCCAGGCCTAGGGGAGAATGAGGGGGGTGGTGAGACATGGAGAACATTTCCATGTCCCGGGGGTTCGGTCAGACCCCTGGGCCAACCAGGCCGTTTTGTCTTCCATTTTCTGTGTCTGATATTTTGGCCGTTCATGCCCAACTCTGTCCTCCACATCGCCCGCAGGGAGAGACATGGTCCCTCGCACCACACGCCCCCATGCGTGCTGGGCATTTGGGAAGAATAGCCGCGGCCCCCTTGATGGAAGGTTTCCATGGTTTCTAGCTGAGACTATGGGAAAGGCCCCCTCCCCTTGCCGACTCGTCATGGTATCCCCAGGACGCGTGCCTGGTCATTGGACGGCTGATGGAGCTGGCCCCTTTTCTGCGGTCGTCGCCGTCGTGCTCTTTTTTTTCGTTATTTAATATCAGACGTGCTGGGGAGGGGGGTCCCGTCTGTGGCTGTTTAGTTGCACCCGGTCCCTTTTCTTCTCTTGCTTTCTTTTCCTGGCAAGGCCAGCTCGCAGGGCGACGGGGGAGGGGGCTGAACTCGGGGCGCGGGGCCATGTGCCGAGATGAACCAGTTCCGTTCCTGGCGTGGCGGGCGGCCCGCCGTCGACGGCCCTGTAGGCAGAGAGGAAGTGGGAGGGGCACACGCGACGAATATTCCTCCTGCATGCTCGTCCGGTGTGGTATTAAGTTCAGATGGCGCCTGGATTTCCGAAGCTTGTTCCTGGTTTCGGGACTATGCGGGGTATACACAGCCAGGAGTTTGGCTTTTTCCTCTTCGTTCTAGTTCTCCCTTGCCCTGATTTCCCAGGCAGCTCGTTCGTCCCACCGTGGGCCCTCGGAATCTCTATTGTCTGATTGGGCGGCACTGGCTCCCGAGCAGGGCCACGTCCGCTGGCATGCGAGAGATGCGAGGCCAAAGTTTCCGTGGGACGATTGAGACGAACAGGGAACGAAGCGCCAAGTAGGCTCCCCAAAGGTTGGAGTGCGCAGCTTTCCCTTGAAAGAAAAAAAAAAACCGACAAAAGCCGGTGGTGGTGGTGCTGTGATGTGATGGAATGCGGAATGTGGGACGTTCGTTGGCACATCTTTGCTTTTTCCGGCGGCGCCTTAAAAAAGCCTACGAGAAGACCAACAGAAGGAATTAGAGTTTAGATGGTGGCGGCCGGACGCCGGCGGTCCTTGGTCTGAAATTAAGGTGCCGTTTGACAGTTTGACAGGCCGCGGGGTCCTTGTTAGCGCGGCGCGCGCGCGCGCGGGTGTGCTTTGCTCTGTAAGGGGGGAAGGGATAACCGCTTAATGAATCTGCAGCAGATTTGGCGGACAGCTCTTGGCGCACCTTAATCGACTCACTCACTCTGCCACTCACTCACCCCACTGCACTCGACCTACACATCGTGCATCTCACATCTCACTGACATCAATGGCTATCCTGGCCTCACCATTCCCAACATCCTTCTTGCCCGTCTCAACACTTTTGCGTGCCTCACGGTACCAGGGTGTTCGTTTGCATTCACACAGCCTCAACCCCCCCTCTTCACTCCACTTCATCTCTCACCCGTTCCGTCTCACTCTCTTTCCCGTCGGCGGTCTCTCCCAGCCCCGGCTCGGTAACACCCCGCGGCTGCCTCCCGTCCCGGAGGGCGCAGACCGCCCGTTCTCGGCGGGGGATTCTGGCGATCAAGCACTCGCGCCGCGCACGGCATCGGGACCCCCGCCAGCCCTTTCCTGCGGCAGGCGAGTTCATGCGGCTTTTGTTTGATCCGGCTGACGGACGGCTGACCGCTTGTTCTCCCTCTCCGTTCCCCCGCCAGACGTGCCCCCCTCCCTTCCAGGGCCCCGGGGCCCAAGACTCCGGATCGGGCCTCGGTCCATGCGCGTGGGGTCCCTAATCCCGCGGTCCTGCGGAGGCTCGCGCCGATCACGCAGGGCCCTGCGGGGCATCGCAATGCCGCCTCTGTTCGGCGTCCAGGGCGTCGGTCTCCCGAGCCTGGGGGCCCTGGTGGGGAACCCACCGCCACCCCCTTCTTAGCCCCCGATCGCGGGCTGTTTATGCGGCCGCTCGTCGTCGTCCAATCTTTCTCATTCAGCCCGCGCGAGGTACCCCGCGAACAGACGGGCCTCGAGCGCCTATGACGTGCGTCTCGTTCGCGACGCTTTGATCACTTTGGAAGGCGAGACCCGGACGATCATACGCGGCTGCGTCGCTGCGAGGCGTTTGGGGCTTGTTCCTCGGGGCAAGCCTGCCGCGCGTTTGTGTTTGTGGTGTTACTATGCGGAGCTCCGAGGGACTCTGAGATGTCCTGGCGGCTGCGATGAATCATGAACACAGTCCGAGTTGGGCTGGACATGATGTTTCCATGACGGGGTTATGGTGTTGGTCTTGGAAAAGACCGTTGGCCTCGTACTGCTGGGCAGGCGGCTGGTCTGAATTGCGTAGGGAAGCGGTCAAGACCCCGTTCCTATCTCAGCCACAATGATGCTCATAAGCGCCAGGCATCGCGCTATAGACATCAAGGAGCGTATCTTGAGGCAAGGGTTACGGCATACCATGAACGACGATCGAAAAATGACTTCTCTTCACTTAATGCTACCGCTTTAGCGAGGCTGCGAGTCTATTTCCTTTTCTGGTTGACGAATCCATAGCCGCTATCGGTAACGTACATCTTAAAGGCCAAGGCCTAACTGAAGCCATGACAACCGAGATCGCCATATTCTCTTGGCAGACCACAGACAAGTAAGGCAACGTCCTTACACCATGGTCTATAAGGAAGCGGGCGAGTCGAACTAGAATTCTCACGCTTAGGCGTACGTTCCTGCTTTGGGGCGTCAATGACCTGCTCTGAAACCACCCTTCCAATTACAGTTATTGCCTGCAAGTCTGATTCAAGCAAACATCGTTTGATGTTCCAAGCGAGTCATTGTCGCAGAAACCGGTGGAGATGAGGATCGCGCATCGCAGAAGCCTGCAGCGCGGGCCGCAGTTGGCGCCAGATACCCGCTGTCATTTATCTCGATTTGAAATAAAGTCGCCGGCACCGGGCGAGATCAATGACGTCCACACTGGCAGTGGAACTGCGCCAGGGGTCTGTTGGACGATCAGACACGCAGTGGCCGCCTGATACAAACATGCTGTGAGCTATAGCCTGGCGTCTAAGCTTACGCATATTTGAGATGGGTTGGGTATCTTGCTTGCAAGGTTGCTATTTCCATCGCGGCATTGACAGCCTCTCGGCGTCGGTTGTCTTTGATGCCGCGTCCCGAACTTCGAAGAGTGTCTCATTGCCTTAACGGCGGTCTTCATTCTACACTCAAGTTAGAGAAAGAGTCAGGAGGGATGTAGAAAAATAGTGGAGCTTCTAGACGACATGGCACTTTTTCCGGGGCTCGGAACGGCAACGGCAATGTCAACCATGGTTTACACTGTCTAGATCACACTGTTGCCTCCGGACCCGGTACTAGCCCGGATCGGTTCGGTCTTTCGGCCCCACCTTTCGGGGCCGTGGCTGGCAGTCGACAAAAGACACACAAGACACTTGGCGGACACTCTGCATACACGCGAATCAATAATCCGGCATTGAATGCACCCATGGCAACTTTTCCGAGATGAGCTCGCGCTAGAAAAAGCAGGTTCTGCACTTCTGGCCACCCTCCACGGACGAATCGCCGAATTCGTGGTCGATCGCCTGATGCACATAGTCTCAATCGGGCTTCTGCGGTGCCTATTTCAATCACAGGATGCTTGAAGAGGCAGTGAGGACCGTCAACCGACAGCCGGTGGGATGCATGCATTCCACGGCAAGGGCGGTGCGTGCTCCGAACCCTCCATCTTTTCCGTCATCCATGAAGCTTGGGTGCACGATCCCGTCCCATCTTCTGTCGTCCAAACACCCGATGACGCTGTCAACCCGCATGCCTGGGCAGATGCGACGGTTCCAATATCTCCGACTGCATAGCCAGGCCACTTCGGACGGGAACCAGGTCCCGCACCGCCGGGCTCATGATCCTGTCTGCTCCATCTTGCATTCGGACGTGTTGTGCCCCCGACAACTCACCCCACACCACCGATCCCGCGACCGAACTCTGGCCTGCGTCAGCGTGTCCCTCCTTGCGGTCCGACACCTTGGTCACAGGGCCTCTGGTTCTCAACGCTCCCGCTCCGAGCCCGAAGATCGCGGAACGCTGGTTCAAGCCTTCATGCTTCTCCGTACTGCCGTTGGCACTTTGCCGTGTGTTCGAGGCCTCTCATGCAGCGAAGAAACCCTGATCCACCTTTGTTAGTTCGCGCACCAGCAACCCTGGCCGCATCTCCCAGGCCTGCGCGCCCTCGCGTCATGTATGCTTTCTTTTTCGAGTCCGCCGGCTGGTACGCAATGCCATTCTTGGCTGCCCAACGCCCACTGAATGATCGACCTGTCGCCATCTTCCGATGCAGGCCTGCCATGGGCCTGCCCGCCTCCCCGGACAGCCCAATGCACCAGGTACCGCGGCGCAAAGTACCGGTACAAGCGCAACTTGTCCTAGCCAGGGATCGGCTCCCCGGCCGCGTGAAATCATGCTCGACGCCACCACACACGGCACAGCTGTCGACACCTCGTGCCTGTTGCAACCGACGAGCAATTGCGTTTGTGATTGCTCTAGCGAGATGCTGAAATAAGCATAAGCTACCACTTTGTCTCACACAATCTACACACACCAAGCCGCTAGCCCAGCCCCCTTCCAACGGCGGCAGCAAGTGAGCTGGGAGCCTGTTCCTGCCATGCCTTCAAGCATGCGTCTTCCTGAGCACTTGATTCACCGTGCTGCCACACCGGGAGTGGCTGCATGGGGTGGAGGGTTCGACACGACAACGCCTCCCGGATGACGAAGAATGTGCCTGCGCGCGGACTCCAAAGGGGCCAAATCAGGTCAGAATAGGCAATTGACAATTGACAGTCGGTATGGCGAGCAGCCCAAACCGGCCTAGGAGCGGCGCAAACCTCCAATACGGGATGCCGGGCCACTGGTTTCCCAGCGCATCCCAGCGCGCCAGGTCCGTGATGGGACGATGATCGATTGGCCTTGCTGCTCTCGCTTCCAAACTCACCGCAACTGTACTGGCACTTCATCATCTGTAACTCTGTGACTCTGTCCTCTGTTATCGTCGTGTGTTGGCAGTGGATCTCCTCTCGAAAGATTTGTGAGTCTCGACCCCTCACCGGTGCCCCCCGGCTGCCCACTTCCCATTTACCCCGAACCAGAGTTAGGCCGCTGTTTGCGTGTGTGCGTCGAAGCGAGGCACGGTGACCGGGGGTTGGCATAGGGGGTGCACCAGAGGCCAGGGGACGCGAGCCGGAATCGCGACTCCGAGGCTTGAAACAATGCTCTAAGGAGGGCCGACCCCCAACGGGCCCTGCGGCGCGTCGGGTGCCTTTGCCTCGAGTTCCATACAAGCAGACTAATATAGAGTCTCTGAGGGAGGCGCGGGATCGTTCGATATAGATGACTCCCCCGCAGTTTTGGAAAAAGGGCAGTTAAAAAAGCCGCCCTGCGATAAGTCTCCGAGATATGACCAACGGCTCATTTCGGTGCTACTCATGGCGCCGACCCAATCAATGGCCGCCGTCGCGCGGGATATTTGTCAAAGACTCATCTTTGCGGGCCACTCGAACCAGACATCGGAGGGCTTGGCCACCAACACGTCGGGCTCGCTTCCGCTGCGTCTCATCTCTCATACCCCCTCCCTCCGGGGGTTTATCAGTCCCCCTTCCACCACCGCAGGCACAGTCTGCCTGCCGCCCGTCCCAACCGCTCGTGGGCGCGAGCGTCGACGTGGATGGACTAGTCTAGACCTGGCGTCGCACGCGCGCACGTTTCCCAAAGGCGTAAGCACTGCAAAAGCCGGCGCATTCGGCCGGGACATCAGACCTTCCGTCCCCTGTGCTATCTCGGTTGGAATTCCGATACTTCGCCTGGCGCATGCCGGTTGTTGTTGATGGCACGCACGCCTTGGTCACGTCGATGTGACGGGGGTGTGCTCCTCCGCGACAGCGAGCGATTCCCATGCCGCCAAGTTTATCAAAGACCTCCGACTGATTTGACATATGCACTCTGTAATGTCCGTCTGATATTGCTGTCATATTGCCACTGATGGTTCCGAAACGGCTCTGGCAGCTCATGCAAGAGCACCTTCGCAACCACAGACTGGCGGAGTCGGTCCGCACGTGGCCAGAGCCAGGCCTTGAGCTGCGGTGATGTCTTTTGATGGTCGGTTTAGAGTAGACCCCCCTCTGTCTAGCTGCAGTGGGCCGCCAAGATGTTGCTTTTCTGACCTTTGGTGTGTGCTTTCGAGTAAGGATCGTCTTCCCGTCGTCCGGATCGCCTCTCCGTGGCGCTGGCGATCAGCAGGCACGGAATTGCGCCAGCACCAAAACCATGAGCAAACGGGACAACGGTTCATCTCCGGAGTATGATCTGGGAGGAACAAGAATGTGGTCGGCACAGTGCCGGTGGCTTGCATGGTTGATCATGAGCGTTGGTCAACGAGAGGACCAACACCGGCCGCCACCAACGCGAGCATTTCCATGTGGCGAATGCGTGGCTGTTGATCATTGCGCGGATTGGGCCGCCGCCCTCATCAAACAGCCAACCAATGACGTTGAAGAGCGACTGAAACCAACGTATCAAACTGCACTTCCATCGTTGCAGTGAACCGGTCGGTTTCGTACGATATCCATTTCGCCTCGTCAACGCGCAAACTTCGGCATTTGATAGCGGTGCAAGACCCATCTTGGGAGCCATTCTAGTGACTGATATGATACTCTTATTGAAACCATTAACACGCCTGCACTGGGAAACTGTTTAAACGTTCCATCAACATCCGTTTCACTAAGCCCTTGATACAACACTCTGGGGGTTTTGGAAGATGTTCTCCGGGTCCCACGTAGCCTTAATTTCTTCGAGAGCTGGAAGGTTGGCTCCCCAGTACGAGCGCCGCGCATCCCTCAGCTCCGGGTCCGCAAAGCCTGGGTACGTTCCAGACGCCCCGGGTGCAGTATTCAATAGCGTTCTGTGGAAGTTGTCTAGGAGATCCTTGATTTTCTTGGAAGCGTGCGCTGAGTACGATTGGTAAAGCATCACATTGTCGCGGTGAGCATATGCTGTGCTGGCAGTGGGGACATCCGAAATGGCGCCACCGACTGCTTGAAACCTGATGGACCAGGTGTCAGTGCCCTTACGCTGCTTTTCGAGCTGCTTGAACACGGCTGCAATGTCCGCCTTGGATAGCAGGTCTTGGCGGTTGAAGCCGAGGCTCTTGGAGTGAAGTTTACTGGCCATGTTCGGGCTGTGAAGGGACTCTTGCGTGGAGAGGAAGTTCAGAGAGCTATCCCAACGCTCTTGGTGGAATGTCGTTGAGCCGCCCACAGGTAGTCTATTAAGAATGCCAGTCTCGTGAAGGTCTGTCTTCTTGCCGTACCATGTTGACAAGATACGGACAACCTGAGGGGCCAGTACTATTTCAGTACTGAAGCGGTGGTCTAGGGCAGGATTGGCAACGACTCGCTGCCAGTCGTGGAAGACGTCGACCATCTCTTCAAGGTTGCGGTACATAAAGTTCTGACTAAAGTGCAAAACAGCTGGTGGTGCCGGATGAGTCTTCATGACGAACTCGGTGACGATGCCAAATCCAGATCCAGCTCCTCTCATGGCCTATGGTTTCAAGTTAGGTTAACGGCGAGTCTAGGGTCTCTTGGGGTTACATACAAAGAACAAGTCAGAGTTCTCTTTGTTGCTGGCCCGGAGGATTGTCCCATTGGCCGTAACAACTTCGACCTCCTCGACGTTGTCAAGAGTAGTCCCCCACATGCGGGACATTGGTCCCAAACCACCCTGTATCCGATTAGAGAACTAGCCTAGACTACTTGCACTGCATAGAGACGTACCACAGTAGCATGACCCCCAATGCCGATACCAAGGCACATACCGTGAGGCACAGCTCGTTGATGGACTTGTAGGGCCTCATCTAGCTGACCGAGTCTCGTGCCGCTGCCTACACGAACGTTGTGCAGAGAGCCGGGAGCTTCGACGTTAACATATTGGAAATGCTCAAGGTCAACTGAGATGGCGCCATTCTGGCCACCAAGTCCTAAGCACACAAGTCATCAGTCTTAGGGCGAAAAAAACGGCAACCCATGAGCTGCTCATCGGCGGTTCTCACCATGGTTTCTATTCAGATAGTTAGAACAGGATAGGCGCTGTTACTATTCGTAGGGTAACTCACGCGAAGCTGTGGCCTCCAGCTTTGGCCTGAACTTTGGCATTGTGCTTTGCAGCGCATTTGACGACGCTAGCAACCCCTTCCGCATTTCTGGGGCGCACAATGGCAATGGGAATAGAAGACTGATCAAGATTGAAAGGGCGCATCCAGGAGCTTGATTTCTTGTCATCTTGATGCAGCGGAAACCGCACACAGTCTGCTCTGCCGACACAGACGTCGTTTAGGCATCGCTCGATCGCGGAGGGGCCTGGCTTGATATTGGAACCAGGGGCGAGGAGTAACTGCACCGTAAGGCCCGCAAGGACAGTGACGGCTGCTGTATACCAGGAGATTCTTCTATTTGACTTGGTGAAACGGAGACATGGAAGCGTTTGTTGGAATATTGAACTCATGTTGAGATATAGTGGTATTGGGTCTAGTGATACAGTAGTAACCTTAGCAACATGGTTTGGCAGCCACTGTTGATGCAGAAGAATCCGAGTTAAATGTCCCAGAGAGAATAGAGCTATTTTAGCCATGTTGATTCGACTATCCAGTTGCATCAACAAGCATGTGATCACGCCGACGAGAGTAACCCGGAACGGAGGGCATTTCCCGGAAACGTTCCCGCGTTGGCGATCAAGTTCATCCTAGATACTGTCTTGCTGATCTTCGGCTGGTTATTAAAAGGTTTCAGGACGCCTAAAACTATGTTTTTCAGTTTCAAATGATTATGGGTACTGCAAAGCCGCGATTCTGTAACTAATGTCGTCTATCGGCCGCACAGCGGTGTCCGTCATGTTTACCGAGACACTCTCCTTTCGGCCTAGTCTAGCTCCAGGCCGACCTATGTACCAAATTTTCCTAGTAGTTTAGTAGTTTGAAAAGCGGATATGATTAGTTCCCGGGACTTGGAAAAGCGAAGCTACTGGCGATGTCTCATTTTGTCGTTGTTCTACGTTAGCGCTGTCTCAGGCACCGTCGTCTGCACTTCGATCTTCGATCTTTCACATTCTGTTAGCGTTGATGATTGCGCCAACGCTCCCGTTTTCAACTGTCACTATGATTGATGAGACACGACTTGTGGTTAGTTAAACCTACTCGACAACATATATCATTGACCCAAAGCAGGACTGTCTCAAGACAAGATAAGATGACGTCGTTGTTACAGAGTATTAGACAGAGTGCTAGCGGCTGAGGGACGCATCGCTAGAAGATATCAGTGGCAGATTTCATTGGAGGTCTGTAAGCTAGGGTTGGTGAGAAAGGAATGTCTCCAAACCTTGAGGCTTTACCATCTCTCTCTTGGTACTTTTGTCTCCGGAGCAGGTTTCGTACTTAGAGTAATGGCCCTTTTTCCTTCCCTCTTATCAAAATCATAGAAATGTAGAGTGATGGAGAAAGGAGGAAGGGAAAAAAGCACGAAAACGTCAGGTGATCCCTTTTTGGTTGACAACTCCTGTCGTTCGCGGACATCGGGAAGACGAGAGGATATTATATTAGTCAAGGTATTGTTTGACTACGATTTATCTATTGACATTCACATGTTAGGAGCATGCGCCGCGTCTGGTTAAATTGAAGCAGCGTTGGATTTTATTACATAATTGAAGAGTTAACGAACTGCAATCTTGAGTTCCGATTTCAACATACCGTGTCAGGGATCAGGCGACCATAGCCCTTGGAAACCCCCAGCACTGCTTCAAATCCACATGTGATACATATGCAAAGAGCCAACCAGAGTCTACTAACCAGCTGGCTCTCACAAAACAGGTCAACGGGGCAGGGAGAATCGCTCGCTCATCATCGTTTTTTGGTATAGGTACATACCTGAAACATAAATCCAGAGCTTTCCCCCATCAGCAAATTGACACAATAGGCTGGGTACTAGGTGAGGGAACGTTAACCTGAGGGAACGTTAACCTGAGATGTTTCCCCTCTTCGCTGCTGCACTTGCCTTCCCCTCGCGTTGTTTGTAGCCCCGCTGGGTGACCTAACGATGACAGAAGTGTTAGCACCAGACAATGCCAGGATAACCTATATCATGCCACCAAAACATGATGTGCACAAAGCCAAGGTATGTTCAAGACTCAGTATCAAATAAGAAGAAATACACATTATCATCTAGGCATTATCTGGCCGACTTGCTTCCGTATAAACGCTGTTTAATCGGGGCCGGCGGCATTAACCCCACATTATCGGCTTCTGGGTCGTTTCTCTTCTTTTTCGTCCCTAGATCCAAGAATCCGGGGTCCGTCCCGCCATGGAACCGTACCCACGTTCGTGCCGACTCTTGATGGATCCGATCGAGTTCCGGCGCCCCGCGTCCATCCTCCCTGAAGAGCGTCATATTCCTTGCTAGTCGTTCGTCCCTTCTGGAATCACCACAACCTCTGCTCCCACTCGTGCACGCCCCTACACCCGGTTCCCTTGGGCCCACGGTGTTGTGAAGGCCAAAGAAGAGCAGCGGAAGCACGCTACCCTTCCAGACAGGCTGCTCGGGGTCGGAGTAGTTCTTAAAGATAATCCAGCCCAGCAAGAACGCGCATATGACGACCAGAATGATGGGTAGTGCGATGTACTTCTGATCAAAAAAGGTGCATGTGGTGCTTGTCCAGACTTCGCCTAGGGCCTCGGCACCCCGGGAACTGAGAGCGTCGGTCCCTCGCAAAACATCGGGGCCTAGCCCAGTCATGCGAAACTTGTTGGTTACGGCCCAGGTAAAGTTGTCGATGGCTTCCGTTAGGCTGGACACCGTGGCGTTCATGTCAGCCCATAGCGGCGTGAGCCACCAGGAGTCATAGCAGTTGATGTGGCCGCTCTGCATGGAGTTGTATGTACACGATGCGCTCAACAGGTCCCCGTTGAGGAAGTTAGACAGCGCCTCAAAGAAGATCCCGTCCATCTTGTAGAGACAAGCGTTGGGCACGCTGCTGATTTTGTCGCCTGACTGCACGTCGCTGTCGCCCAAGCTGACATTAGCCCAGGTGCGCCCTGGAACGTGCAGGGCCTCGCTCTGATTGCCGGTGTCGTACCAGGTGCCGTCGTCGAGTACGCAAGGGCTCTGAATGGCTGTATAGTTGCCGGAAGCCGAGTACCGGTATGTGGTTCCCGAAGCCATCTGCTCGGCAGAATTGAGCACCGCTGTGGTGGTGCGGACGAGCTTCTCAGTCAGCACATTGTCCTCGTACCGGGCAGAATACTCCTTCATGCATGGATACAAGACACACGAGGACGCAATATAGTCTCCGATGCCGTCGAAGTAGCTATTGTCGGATTGCGAAAGGCGATGCGGACAGTTCAGCTTGGTAATCCCGTTCGACTCCTCCGACGTGCAGGGTGACTTCGTCACCATGAGCATGCTGAAGTTGGCAAGCGAGACTGCAGCTGCCTGGGCAAAGTCGTCACTGAATAGTTCAGTGTACGCACTCAGATTGCTGTAGCCCATCCACATATAGTTCCCCCCCAGAACGTTGATGAAGGCACCGTTATCCGGCAGTGTCAGGTTGTCTCCGAGCTGGGGTGAGCTTACGAAGCTTGTTGTGTCGATGCAACTGCTGCAGATACCGATACTCGCATGTGTGACGCCTGTGCCCCAATCGGGCCACGTGCAGTTACCGCTGGAACAAGTGACTTGAACGTTGCTGTCCTGGCTGGCCGGATCGGTTATACCCTTGATCATGGCACTCTTCATGTCTACCTCGAGCTCATACAGGCCCGCCCCGACTCGGTAGTACGATGACGACCCCGGGACATAGTTGGCCACGGGAATAGCGGAGCGTGCATGCTCCTGGATCATGGAGCAGGTCTCTGTGCGGACGGCCTGTTGCGTGACGGGGCCAACAGTCAGACTGGCGATAGTTATTATCGCGGAACCGATGGCGAGTAAGCCAGCAGAACTAAATCCTAGGTTCCACACCACCACTCCCAGAAGCCTAATGGATCCAAGGACGGACCGACTCGCCGCATCAAAATCCTGGAGATGCTGTAGAGGGCGAGTTTTCTCGGCGAACCATGTCCACTTGATCTGGCCGATGATCTCAGCCACGGCGGCGACAATGGCGGCCCGTAGGAGGGTCGATAAAAGGGCGATGGCGGTGTTGAGGTTGATCTCGAAAGGCCATTCTGGCATGTAATGACCATTATAGTAGGCGAGGAGCGTGATGATGGCGGCAAGAAGACAAAACGCGACAAAGACTGTGAAAATTTCAAGACTCCAGTAGCGTAGGATGTAACGGATGCGTCCCTGGCTCGGTCTCAGCGCCGGATCCATGGGCGGTTGACACTGGAATGACGAGCCACCCGACGGCTGGTGTGGAGGTAAAGGCTGCTTGTCATCGTCCACGTCTTCGAACGGCCACCGAACGTTCGATGAGTCGTGCTGTTTTGAGCCATCGTCTGGCATATCTCGTTGTTGCTGGTCGAGCTTGGGCGCCATGGGCTGGTCCTCAAGCTCCCAGGTCCGTTGTGATTGTGACGCTGTCATCTCTCTTAGTCCTGCAGCGACTCGAGGACGTTGGCGTGTGCTCGTCGTCGATTAGACCATTAAGTCATGGTTGAGGCACACAGTGCACATTCGGCATCAGATAGAAAGGACAAAGCAGAAGCTCATGTTTGATTTTGGTTTGGATGGACACATGCCCCTATTGAGGCTGGAAAGTCAGCTCAATGATGTTCAAGCTTTGAAAGGAAACGTGGATCACAAACAACCGAGATGAGATGCTCCATGGGATCAGTCTTGGTATACAAACGTGTTCAGCCTCAAACTCCACAAATGGTGATAATCCAATAAGAAATATCGACGCGATTGTTTCATCTTCGAGGGTATCCACACTCGCCAGGCAAGCGGACTGGGTCCTGACTCGGGGAATTCCTCACCACAAGGGCGACTAGCTAAGGATCCATCTTGGACAGATGCTTGACATTGCCTTGACTTCAAAAGGATGAACTTTCGTTGTGGCGGGGTTACAGTTTTGCAAGCCATTGTCAGTGGCCGTTCATTCGTCCGACCGAATGGACTGGCCCCTACGCCCAAGGCAGACAAACTCTGCTGACCATTTGCCCCAGGGGTCAAGAAGGTTATGTCACGGAATTAAAGGCCCACGAATAGCGGGCCAGATCGACGCAATACATCATATGCCCACCAATACGACTCCTGTCGATGATTCAGGAGACATAGCTCTGGCTGGATTGTCACTGGACTTGATTGCCTTACGTCTGCAATCACCCAGTGACTTCGGCATGTCTTGTTGATATTGCCTTCGCTTGCACGCAGGATAACACATGGTCTACCTCAGTATTACGTTCATGATTAAAACGCTGCGCATGGCTAACATGATATTAATGATTGAGCATGGCTAGAAATGCAGTAGCAATTCAAAACTATCGACCCTTGTTGTGATCATTTGCGTGGTACTAGGCACACTGCTCCGGAGTCCATCATTTACGAGACACAAATGGTGCTTTCCAGTACCCCGGGAAGTACGTTGGCAGCTTGGTAGCAATCCACCTCACGATGGCTGCGTTCGTCTCCTCCGGCTTCTCCAGCGCGACCCAGTGTCCCGCCTCAATGCTCACCTCGGTGAGATCCTCACACAGCTCCCGCATGGGCTCACTCAGTCTGGAAAGCGCCGTATCACAGACGCTGTCCCAGCGCGCCTCGATGAACAAGACCGGGTAGCTGAGCCGACCCCATTGGGCGCTTTCGCATTGTAGACCTTGTTGGCATCATAATTGCGGTAGTAATCGTTGGGACCCTCGAATCCATTCCGCTCAAATTCGGCTACTATGCGGTCAAAGGCAGGTTTGTCATCCTTGAACAACGTTGTCTCAAACGGCAAGTCTGGCGCCGTGGGGAGGCCGCCGAACCACCCGCCTAGCCTGCGCACCGAGCTAAGGAATGAGGGCTTGCCATACGTCTCGGGGCCGGCACGTTGGTAAAGCAGTTTAACGGTGTTGGACACGTTCGCTTGCAGCTGCGCAGCACTGGTGTCGGGCTGCTCGTTGTGAAAGGCTTGATAATCCCACTGCGCAAAGGGATACTCGTCCTTAGGATAAATCTCGCGGTTGGAGAGGCTGACAAGAGTCTCCAGGTCAAGTACGGCGTACGGTACGGCCAAGCAGCACACGCCGATGCACTTCTCCGGGTGGTGAGAGGCGAAACCCCAGACGAGGCCAGCGCCCCAATCATGACCGATCCAGATGGCCTTGTCGCGGCCGAGATGTGCAAGTAGCGCCAACATGTCCGACACATGATGCTCCAAGGCGTAGGCACTGGGCCCCTTCGGCACGCTAGAGCGTCCGTAGCCGCGGTTGTCCGGCGCAATGACTCGGAAGCCCAGAGATGCGAGAGTTAGAAGTTGAGGCTTCCATGTCTCGCCGTTTGCGGGCCAGCCGTGGATGAAGATAACGAGTGGTCCTCCGGAAGGGCCGGCAGACCAGTAAAACGTGGTTTTATCGCCGCTGTGGGTGAATTGGTTCTCGTTAAGAGTAGGCGGAGCCATCTTGTAAGTGAATGATATTCAGCCTTGGTCAAGTTGAGATGATGCTAACTTCTGTTTGGCTAGCACGCTGGCGATGATTGAGAACGGTGCTTGCGCTGATGTGTGAGTGCGTGGATTTAAATCCTCCCTGTTGACCCCACTGAGGGCGGGGTAAGAGAGATCTGGTTTGCATTCGGGTCGGCTGTGAGTAAGCGGCAATTGAAGCCTGTAATTGACCGCAGCATGCCAGAGACAAAACAACCTGACAGTTTTATTCTAGCCCAGAACCAAATCCAGCCCTAAAAAGACTGGGGAAATCTCATAAGATGGCCTAAAGCTTAAGGAGTAGGTTCTCAATGTTTGTTTTCTTCCATTTGTTATTTAAACATGTATGTGAGTTCAGAGTAGGGGAAATTGGTCAAGGTTTCATAGGAATGCGCCATGTTTCTGCTTACGTAATACGGTGGTACATTAGTGCCAACCCGACTATAGGCGGCTGAATGTTACGCCGACTGCCCAGCCCCCCAACAAATCGTCGATTTCCATGTGATCGTCATTTATCCCCCAACCTAGGCTTCAGTAACACAACCTTTTACTTCTTAAATCAACTTCAAATTCTCGTTAGACGTTAACAACTACCTAAAGATGCCCTGAGGACCACTTATTAACTTTACGCCCCATTGCTAATTGATTGAAGCTGCCTATCGCGATAGTACCAGTTACGCGACTATCCTCTACATCCTTTAACAGGAGACTGGACTTCAGCCTAGTCTTTATACCCTTAAGAGATAACTAAGATCATGGGATCTATCTAAGAATACCTAGGCTAAGCAATATTAGCCTAATCAAGCTAGCCTTATACAGAAGATCTCTTTTTACTTCTTTAACTATAAGTATAGTAACTAATCTATTTAACATAATCTCTAATAAGATAATTACCTTAATATATCTAATAAAACTATTTAAAGAATATAACTAAGTAATAATATAAAGAAGCGTTATAAGAATAATAATAAAAGAAATACTACTATAAAGATAATAAAGTTATTTATAAAAAAAGACCTTAAGTCTTTAAGTATAATTAGAGGATTTAGTTAAAGTTACTTTTATTAGTATATCTATTATAAGACTAGTATTATAGTTAAAAAATACTATATATATACTTATTATAAAAAGAAATTTCTTAATCTTATATATTAATAGTAGATTAGTTACTAGTAGTATTAAACTAACTTTAAAGTACTAAGCTTTAATTTCCTCTAGTTACTTAATAGATATAAGAAACTAAAGAAATTTAGCTTCTAAATATACGCTTATATTAATACCTATTTATATAAGATTATCTAGATCTACGTTAAGAGGTTAGTAACTATAGTAATTAGTATACTAAAGTAGTTCTTTTATGTAATACTAATAGTAGAAATAAGGCTATATCTAACAAGGTTAAACTATAAGGTAAAGACTTCTCTATAAGTAGAAGCCTAAGAGGTAATAGTAAAAGATACCTAGATAACAGTTAGCTATACTAACTCAGAGGGTATTACCAATACTTTCTACCAAAAGGATAATATCTAGTTATATTATATATAGGCCTTATCTACTAGTAATATAAGGATTAAGAGCTAGTAGAAGCTTCTTTGTATAGGCTAAAGTAATTACTAGATTATAAGTATTCCTCTTATCTTTAATTTTATATTAATATTTCTAATATATTTAGTCCTATACTAATAAGCTAATTATAATAAGGTACTTTATACTAAAAAATACTATATACCTTATTACTATATATATAATATATAGTAATATAATTTAAAAAGAAATTACTAACTTTATAGAGCTTTAGAATAGCTATAAGATTTACTTATAAAAGAATTGTTTTTATATAGTCCTTAGTATACTAGCTAATCTCTATAAGTATAAACCTAATTAAGGGATTCTTATTATAATAACCTTAATTACTTATAAGCTTATTAGTAATATGTTTGTGCTACTTAAGGAGGTTAAGATTAATGAATTTATAACGAGGAAGATAAAGTAGTAGTGTATAAAGTAATTAGCTAATATAAGTATTTTACTTAAGAATCTAAAGCTTTGTATAAAAGAAGATTATAAGTGACCTTATATAAAGATATACCTACAATTAAAGATAAGGATAATAGTATACTTTAAGGCTAGTAACTAGTAGTCTACTCTTACACTTATTCTATAGCTAAAAGGAAATTAATAGAGATATGTAAGTGATTTAGATGTAATAGTGATAATAACTAATAGATTAATTAAATAACGTATAGCTAGACCTCCTTATAAAGAACTACCTTGTTGACCTATAATATAATAAGCTTATTAGAGAGTAAATACCTAAGGATAAGTTAGCTAGGATAAATACTATATATACTAAGATAGTATTACCTAATTAGGCTAAGACTAATAAGTCTAACTAAGAGGTAGTTTAGTAAGTAGCTTTATGAGTATAATAAGTAAGGCTAGACTTACTACTACTCTAAATATCTTTACTCTGTTACTATTAGTCTTTAAATAAATCTAAGTTATTATCTATATTACTATCTTTATTACTAATAATAATCTTTTTATTAACCTCTTCTTTGTTTTATATAATTATCTTTATAATTATACTAAGACGCTTATGCTTTTATAGGCGTTAATCTTTATTATTAGAATAATTAGATAGACTTAGCTTTATATTAACTTTTTACTTTTTTTTGATAGGTATATATAAAGATACTAATAATAATCTCTTAATGTGTAATATGGTAGATTCTTGTTGACTATAAACAGAGCTTACTTTATCGTTAAGATTAAGAGAAAAGAAATAGAGGTATATAGTAATACTCCTCTTGCTCTTTTTTACTTTTTATATCCTAAGATCTTAAAAGAAGTCCTTTATAGTTTTACCCTTATAAGGTAAAAGCAAACTAAAGCTACTATTATAAGTAATATAATTAAAGTATAATTCAAAGTCCTATTATTAATTAAATAGGAGCTATATAGCTAGTATAACAATTAAATAGATATATTAATTAACCTAGTTTAACTTAGTAGTATTAGTAATATTAGTTTAAATAAATAAGGTAATACCTAGCTTTTCTACTATATATAAGTAATAAGAAATCAAATTTAATAATATAAGAGACTTATAAAGTAACTTAGTAGTCTTATAGATATAAAGGCCCTTATATAATTTGTAGCTAACTATTTATATATTTATAGATATATTAATAACACCTATATTGTTAAAATCATTAACCTGCTTCTTCTTTCTACTTAGTGCTTCTTATAATATCTTTAACCTTCTCTTAATCTTATTTTTATTACTACTATTATTCTTAAGGTTAATTATCTTATCTTAGACCTAAGTATAAGAGATAGCTTAAGTAAAGGTTATATAGCTAGTATTACTAAAAGCCTTATTATATAAGTAAAATAGTTAATAGGTAGAAATATTAACTAGTTAGGCTATTACTCTATAAGGTAAATTATTACTAAAAGAATTGTTAAGGGTAATTAATATAAGCTATAACTTATTATAAAAAGGATAGTAAGTCCCTTTAAATTTGCTTTTAAGCTACTTATATTTATAACCCTTAGTGTTTTTTATTAATAAGTAAATTAGCTTATCTATAAAGTAAACTATAATAGTAATAAAAAGAGTAAAAAAAAAAGAAATTAAGGTAATAATAAAGAGGTATTAAAAAAGATATTATTCCTTTTTTTATATATCTAAGCGTATATACTCTTTAATCTTTACTTTAGCCTACTTAGCTATTACATATCTAATCTTTTATAAAACAAAGGCCTAGCTACTTATACTAAAAATATAAAAAATAAAATATACTTAGAAATAAAGCTTAATAAATTAAATCTAATACTATTAACTATTTTTAAGAAACTAATATAAATTATATTATAATAATAAATAATAAAAAATAATAAATATAATAATAGTTTTTAGTAATATTATTATAGTTACTTAATTAGTATTTCTATAAATTTTTTATTATTACTTAGTATATAATATACTAATAGCTAATAAATACTAGATTTCTCTTTTTAGCTATATAAAAATACTTTAGTTCTTAGTAATAAGGTATATAAGCTAGCCTTATAAAGGCATTTATAACTCTATTAATTTAGATAATATATATTTATTGCTACTACAACTATCCTTCACTACCTTATATATATAGACATCTTCAAATAAAAGCCTAAAAATAAGGGACGCTAACGGCCAAGGCAAATCGTACTTCTATCCCCTAGAATAACCTCTATCCAGCATAGCCTGGCCTACGCCAACCTTTGAGACCTAGCAGCTCTCGGATAACAAGATTAGCAGCTGTCGGATAACAAGATATCCTGCAGAAAAGAAGCCTACGATATCAGAATTGGCGACGATTTATATGGGGGGGGGCCGGGCAGAGGAGAGTCGGCGTAACATTCAGCCGTCTATAGTCGGGTTGGCACTTATGGAGCACCGTAGCTTACCCGAGGCCAAACTTCTCCTCACGCATTGGTAATCACGAACGTATGACAATGATGCCGGTCTGATACCACCACTGGGGCAACTTTGCAGTCCCTTCGTGTTACAAACCTGTCCACTACCAATGATGAGGATATGGTGGGTTTCCGCCGATCGCAGGCGACTGTCCGTAGCCTTGTGCAAAACAACAGTAATGAAGATTTGTGAACTATCCATTCAAACCCTGTGTGACTGTGTCCCGTAATCCAACCCATCCCAGCTCAAGTATCGGAACCCGCGCCTTCCCGAGGCCCGAGAAAGCGGTTTCCAATCGAGGTCAGCACACTTTAAAGCACATACTTGAACAAGGGGGACCTGTCTCCCATATTGAACAACTCCTCCTCAGTATACTTGGCCTTCGCCTCGTCAGCGATCCTGGCCTTACGAGCGTTTGCCGCCTTATAGCTCCACTCAAGTAAGAGGGCAACAATCAGCCCACTTCCACCAAAAGCCAAGCTGAGACCGAACCCAGTGTGGTATTTGGGCTTCTCGCTTTCCAGATACATAAAACTGCCCACAATGCCACCAATGTTGCCGACACAGTTCATAAGTGCGATTCCAATGGCTCTTCGCGAGGCGGGAGCGATGTTGTTGGCGTTCCATGAAGCGGCGGCCGCCTGGATTGGGTAGATGCCGACGACAGCGAGGACAACCGAGAAATAAGCCACTCCCTTCTTGGCCTCGAGTTCCCCGTTCAGCGATAGAATGATGGAATATCCAATTGCGACGATCCCGAGGGGGTAACTAGGAACGGCATTCGCCAGAAGAAACGATCGGAGACTTTGGCGAACGAAATAGCAGATATGGCGGCTGCGACGTACGGGGGTGCCGAGAGGAGCTGGGCTTCAGTATTGGCAAATCCCATGGCCTTGGTGATGGTTGGAAGCGTGAACTTGATGCCATAGGACAGAGCTGACTGGCACAGCAGGAAGTAGGCCTGCACGTAGATCCTCCAGTTGGTGAGGTTCATTTTGACATCTCTCCAGTTGACGCGGCCGCCGGCGCCACTCTCCTCGCGTGATCCGCCTCCCTGCTTGATAAAAATCGACAGCTCCAGGTATCGGATCTCTTCGGGCTCGAGCCACCGCTTCGAAAGCCCCGGGGTGTCAACAAGCAGGAAGAAGCAGGCAGCGCCGATGGCAACCGTGGCAAGACCTTCAAGCAGAAAGATCCACCTCCAACCCTCGAGTCCTCCAACGCCATCCATTTCGGCGATAGCCGCGGCAAGGATACCAGAGAAGGCACCAGACAAAGCACTTGCACAGTAGAAGTACGAAATACGGGTTGACAAGTCTTTTGGCTCGTACCAAAAAGAGGTGAGATAGATTGCACCTGGGAAGAATCCCGCCCTATGGTTTTGTCTGTTAGCGAGTAGACCACAAGAGGGATGATGGTGACAACGGGGGCAAGGGGGTATTTTGAGAGCCTTACTCAAAGGTTCCGAGAAGCACACGGGTGACCATTAGGCCTGCAAAGTTCTGCACCAATCCTGTGCAGGTCATTACAATGCCCCATGCGAGGGTGAGGCCACCGAGATAGGTGGATGGGCGTTTGAATTTTTTCAGTATGATGTTGCTGGGTACTTCGAACAGAACATATGGAATGAAGACTATGCCAAGGTACGTGAGCCATGCTCCCTCTAGGTCTAAAGATGTCACAGGAGGGCCAGTGTATTGAGGTACTTACAAATAGACAAGACGGTGTTGTACTGCACACCCGACATGCCCAAGTCTTCCACCATGCCTTCAATCTTGGCATTGCCAATATTGGCACGATCAATATGGCATATCAGGTAAAGAAGCGCCAGCATTGGGATCAGGCGGATGTCAACCTATCTGATGCATCAGTCACTATCTCCGGTATAACGCGATCCGACTGTTCATACCTTGCGAAACACTTTCTTTCGCTTGTCCGCCGGGTAGTTATTGTAGAAGTCGGCATCCTCAGTACTCAGACCAAACACGCGAAAGCCATTAACCTCAATGGCTTCCGGTACCTTTTCAAGGTGGACTTCTGCAGAAGGGCGATGACCGAGGGTCTCGACCTCGTTCTTGTCGAGGGAGCGCCTCGCCGTAGCCATCGTGACGTAGGGGCTTTTGCGTCAAACGCGACTATAGTAAAAGGACAGTCTATGCTTACACTTGGAAGGAGGGAAAAAGTTTCTTGATATTGAGTTCTGGACGACGGCTCTCAAAACAATCACGGACAAGGAATCTGCTCAAGATATATCTGGCCACGATGACCCACGCTGCGGAGAAGCTTGGGACCGGTTGAGGGTCCCCGCCTGCCGCTACCCCAGAACTACCCCAGACCCCAGACTTGAGAACAGTGGGTGCGGGGAAGTGGTTCGTTTCCCAGTCGGATATGGGGGGCTGGGACGGATTAAAGATCATATGCCAGCGTTATCCGTGAGTAGTATCCGTAGATTCCGCCAATTTAATTGTTACTGTTACACCGCATTGCAGGAAGACTGTAGAGCCCTCGAATCAAGCGAGATATGCGGCAGCAGACGGCAGAAGTTCGTGTAGTCGATTTCAGTTGGAGCACGATATCCCTGATATGCTACCACACCGTTGGATCGCGCTATAGCCATGCGTGGATAATGGTATGTCCAGTCCTTACCTGCTTCTCGTTTCCGGTTTCTTTACTCTCGATTGTATTTCTTTGTTGCCTACTCACCAAGCATGCACCGAAAGAATTTGGCTACAGCAAGAGCTTTGACAGGCCTTCAGTATATCAGAGCTCCATGCTCCCTAGGAATCTAGCTCGTCGACAAAGTTCCAGGACGTCGACCGAGCTCCGCATTCATCTCCAGCGATTATTCCGCATAGAGATCGAGGACGGATAACACGGAACAGCCCATGGATAGTCATAAGATGATCATTACCCCGCAGAAGGATGGCTCCAGTGGAAACCGGTAGATTTCTTGTCTAATAAGACGTCGGGTTGGCTTGGCCTGCATCAACCACTATAGTAAGTTACACAGTACTTCGGCATAGGTCAGCATCCATCTCTAGTTTCGCAAGAGCGTGAGTCCGGACGATAATCATGGATCGAAAGGCGTGGATAGAAGGGAAACGGAAACTGATGATACCGCCGACTCTTGAGGAATTCGACAAGTTGGACGCAGCTTGGTGCAGACAGACTTCCGGTCAACTCGCCATAACCAGGTGTTTACATAGCACAGCCTTCGGAGGACATTTGGAATTAATGGTTGTTTTAAAGGACGGCCTATCTTTGCACCGAAATTCAACTGTTGTTCGGTGAATTCGGTAGTCTAAGCACAGTGTTTAGAGCTACCCCCGCTTAAACGATGAACGACTGCTTCACCCACCCTGGGAATACAACCTTGAGCCTGCGTCCAGTTTTGAAGATTTCCGTTCTGAAGTTTCTTGTCAATAATTATCCATGGATCAGTCCCTATAGTTGCCTTTGCTCTTGCCCATCCATTTGATAACTCATTTGAGACCGCCAAGATCGTCTTCCGTTCCCACTTTCGGGTCTCCATTGGGCTGACAATGATCTCAGGAATAGATATGCTCGGCTTCTTCAGGTGGATCGACTCGCAAGCAATTTCTAGCGTAAAATTGCTCATTGATTGCTACCCTCTGCTAATTCGTCATCAATGTATTGACCTTACCATGATGTCGTAGCGTTCATAGCTTCGTGATACGGATGATGGAGCACTACAAGATAGGGGCGCGAGAGGTATGAAGGCTAGTTCAGACACGAGGCGACGACACCACGCCCCAAGGCTAATCTCATTGGTATGAGAAACATAAAGATCATTCGGACATACTAGGGAGTGCGGGGGGTGGGGGGGGGGGGGGGGGGGGGGGGGGGGGGGGGGGGGGGGGGGGGGGAGGGGGTCCTCGCGGTATCTGGATCAGGCGAAAGTGGTTCGGAGACGCACTTGCTAGCTATGCACCGTACCGCTCACAAGCTGGGTCCTGCTCCATGAGTTGCAATTAACCAATTAGCTGCAAAGTTTGGTCAGACAGAAAGACGTCGGGCAAGAAAACCGCATCTGTAAAACAGCATAAACAGAAAAACAAAACGATGTTCATTTGCAACGACATGCCAACAATTGCATGCTGTCCCGAATGAGCTGTTTATAGCACGAACTCAAGGTTATTGCAGACGGCGTTAGTGCGAGGCACAGCTGCTAGCACAACATCCCTTTTGAGTTTGTAACACGTGTGTTGATGCTTTTTGTCAAAAAAAGTTCGCGAAAAGGGAATGTAAGTTCAAAACGAGTAATTGAGAACATCACAGAATTGTAGATCAGATTTGTTGGCGTGAAATCAGAAACATTTAGAGAATAAACCAACGCAGCGAAAGGTAGTCACTCATCCTCTACGATTTTAGGTTTCAAGATGGAACGAATATCAATTCTTTTCACACTAGCGAATGTCACCGTACACATTGTTAGCATCTGAGCTCCCTCCTTAAGCCTCTCCTCTCCCATCCTCTCCTCGTCACTCGTCAAAGGCATTCCGCTATTGGCTTGTTGTATTTTTTGTCCTCATACCACGACTCAGATCTCAACACTTCTCTGAAACCATGTGTTTTATTAACTTTGAGTCCTTTCTGCGGTTGTCGCGAACTATCGCCCTGTCGCTTACCGCCTACTAGGCGTGGGCTGTCTGATCTTATCGTACATTATCAGCACGATTTATGCGTGGCATCGTCACCGCCATTTCCCCGTTCCGTCTTTCTTGGCCTCGTTTCCGTATCTTTTGCTCGCAAAAACTACACATTGTGGAAAACAATTTTGGGTTCACCGAGAACTTCCCCGAAAATACGGCCATCTAGGACGAATTGGTCCCATTAAGGTCATAACAGATGATCCCGACATCATCAAGAAGATATCGTCAGCTCGTAGCTCGTATCATCGAGATGCGCGGTACATCAGTGGTCGTTTCCACCCATATCACGACAACATGTTCTCTCTTCTGGATCCTGCAGCACACAGCAAGGCAAAGTTGCGAATAGCAGCAGCTTATGGCGGACATGACGTACTGCGGTTGAACCTGGTGTTGATGATCAAGTAAATACCTTGGTAGAGCTCCTTCGCAAAAAATACGTCGCAACTTTCACAGACTCACACCAGACTCTCCTGGATCTGGGTCCGCTGTCATGCTACTTCACAATGGATGTCATCACTCGTTTGGCCTTCGGAAAAGAGTTTGGGCATCTCAAGGAAGAAACCGACCTTTCCCGCTTTCTCAGTGGCGTGCATGATCTTTGACCACGCATATCGACGTGTGCTGATATCCCGTGGATTCGAAGCCTGCTATTCTCACAAACATTTTTGAAGCTCGTGGGCCCAAAGTCGACAGACAAGAATGGCTTTGGCGCCTTAATGGCGTAAGAGACAATACTGTCGCGGTATATCGACGGTTATGTGCATTCTGAGGGCCATGACAGGAAGCGACAACAGCAGAAATAATTCAGCCAGAACGCTCAAAGTCTTAACGTTGCAGGGTCAGCCGATAAAAAGCCGAGCAGGTTTGTGTGGTACTATAGATCGTTCAACTTGTCCACCAGGTGCACCCTCAAGGGGCGATCGCGGAATTCCACTATGGTTCGGATTAGATCAACGTTGTAAGGAGGTATTGCACAAGCGGCTTTTATTATTCAGGCCATAGGAAACCCTGTATATGATGGTTGTCTTGCGTTTACTGTGGTTATATGCATCAACTGGTGAAAGCGAACTACCTGGGTATTAGACTGGCAGTGTAGTCACAGATCCGTAACTTCTATGTCACGTGAAGTAAAGGTTTTTTCAAGACTGACGGATACTTTCAATACCCCTACCTCAACTGACTTATTCTCTCCTGCAGTTGCATACTTTCCGCGCCCGTAAACGTTTCAGCAACCACCGCCAGTCAAAAAGTCAGCATCGAGTGCGACAATCAAGGCGATTAAACCTATTTCATTGCCTCGAAATCTACCTTTGTTTCGTCGCCCAACTGGCAAACATAGCACCGGGCTTTGTGGTCGTCGCAAACTTCCCGCCGGGGCCTGTCGTACAAAATGCCGTCACCTGCCGCCACGGCATCCGCGGCCAACCTCGCAACGGGGCCGATCCACGCCAAGACCAGTCAGTTGATGTGCCTGGAAATCTTACCGCGATGCAATCTGATAAACATGAACTCAGCATCACTTCCTTACCTCATTTTGAGCCTGTTGAAACAAACGGATACTGGCCAGCTCTTTAATGGGCGCGAAGCTGCATGGCCGTTGTCTTCTCCATCAATTCGGGTACTCAGCAGTGATTACTAACTAGAGACCATTTGAACAATAAGCGACCCTGTGATCCATCAAGAATCGTCGTCCGCGGGAGATGTCAACAGCACGGAACAAAAATTGCCATGCCTATCTG